CGCACATCTTCATCATGTCTCTGATACGGGGAGGAACGAGGGCTCCGCATACATAATACACAAAGCCCTGTATGTACCGGGGCTGCCCACACTGTCTTTTAGGCTCCTGTACAGGTGCTACTTTTTAAATCAAACAAGTCATCTGGTCTAATTATTGTGTCATTATTTTGGAAGTGAAAACAAAGAACAAATGATTAGAAACTCATTTGTACACTTGTTGATGCTCGCATCCTCCTCGTTGTTGCATTGACTGTACCACCTACAGTCAATTACATTAAAAGCAAAGCATTAAGATATATTACGATTTAGCAGTAACTGCTCTATCCTCTCAGGATACTTGACCAATAGTTTCAAGTTCACACCCTTCTTTTTTTTTGTCAAGTTGCTCTAGATTTAAACAGAGATGCACAAAAACGTACGGTAAACTAGAATTGATACGCATTGCACAGCCGCCCAGATAAATAGTAGATGTCAAGTTTGCCAGCAGCCCCTGGAATAAACGTATCTAGCGATTAGACAAGATGCACCGGGGAAATGTGTTGAGCTGCCACCCACTGTGCAACCGACCAAAACAGGTCACATGGAATAGATATTGCAGACCCAACAGCAGACATCTAGACAGTTACCACATCAAGTTACTGCAGTGACAGTGGAGTAGATAATGGATGTGTCGGGCCAATGCTGTGTCACATCTGCTGTCCGTGGAACTGGCTTCAGCGGAGACGATTGTGTAACACGGAAGGTGTAAATCCTTCCCACTTACACTCAAATTACAAGGCCCGATGAGCTAATGCGTTTGGAAAAGAGGGGAAAATTAGGTGTAACAGAGACGGTAGCTTGCACACAGAAAGATGGTTCCCCTCAAGTCCACCGCGAGGTCGGAGTGGATCAGCGTGAACTCCAGACTGCAGGAGGGATGGATCTCTGGTACTCATGGAAGTATCCTGGTTGTGTTTAATTTACTCGGATAAAATCATATGGGCCGAAGTTGATTACCCAATTTAAAATGAATATCACCAATAGTTATCTAAACCTTTACCGTAGCTTGTTTGAAAGACAGTTGACCATAACATTTCAAAAATAAAAGGTACAGTCCAGTGTTTCTCCTGACTTTTTATAGTATGTTGTATCTAATTACCCTAGAGTCCGTTGTACTTAAACTACTTTAAGATAAACTGCAAACTGTCCATTAATGACCGGTGGTGCTAATGTTGATATTTCTTACAATATTTAAAAAAATTGGCAACTACTACCAAAAACGGCATCTACTGTTTCAAATCAAAGAGAGAGTTGACCATTTGGGACCGACCCTCTTCTCACATATTAATGCCCTCTAATCAGACCCTCCCTCCAATGTCAATACCATATAGAGGGGTAACTAATAAATATACACATTTATTGGCTACAGCAGAATAATGTAATTCATTATATGTAAGCACCTAATGCACAAATGACCTCTCATCATAAAAGAGTATTATACCTTCCTGTAACCATGGTTACTAATATGTCAGTCCATTTGAATGATTTATACTGATGTTGCTGTTGGAAAGAATTGTACGACGGCAGTACGTAAGTACGATTACCTGTGACCAGATTGCAACCCCGGTACGATTAAGTCACAGTACGATACACACTGTTTTCCCTCTTCTTCTTTATCTTGATTAATGCACAGAGAAAAAAAAAGCTGGGGTGGATTTTATAAGGTGTCGTCACACCAAAGTATTTATTTCCAGCACCAACTGAATATAACTGCTGCAAAAACCTACGCACATGTGACTCGTGTTGAGACACTTCTATCCAGTGTGTGTGTGTGTGTGTGTGTGTGTGTGTGTGTGTGTGTGTGTGTGTGTCATTGTGTCAGACTTCATGGCCCTGAGCTCACTCAGCTTGAGCTGTGCAGCAGGTTTGCTGCTGGTACCTGTTGACCTTGGGTGTGAATTCAGAAGGGCACCACTGTCTTTATGCATCCTCTCAGGAAGATTATCGCAAGTAAAATGTGGCTAAATGAAACTCGCATTCATCCTTTCAGCACATTAAAGGATACATATTTAAATGTTCATGACGCTAATTATTATTGAAGCCAATGTTTGTGCCACCATCTGTTGCCCGTGTGTGTGTGTGCATATTTGTGTGTTTGTACATTCTGTACAGCTCGCTCGTGTTTATATGTAGATTCATACCGAAAACAAGGCTTCAACAGAGCGAGCTGCAGTGCTGAAAACTGCACTAAAGCGTGTGTGAGTGTGCGCCTTCATTTAATGCCGGTGCCAGTTGGAAGGAATGCTCTCACGCTGCACACACACACACACACACACACACACACACACACACACACACACACACCTTGCTGCTGAAAGATGCCAGGATATGTCAAATTGCATGCAGGTCTGTAGAGGATGACACTTCAGTACTGCATAACTATGTAAAAGAACAAACTAAAGGATGGAATAATGTTGCTGCAACATGTACAGAACAATGTGTGCGTGTGTGTGTCTGAAATGAGGTGTGTGTGTGTTTTATGATCATGAGCCGCCTCAGTGTTTTCCGTCGGTGTTTATGCAGCGCTGATGGTCTAGAGGAACGAGTGCTGCTTGATATTTACACACAGAAGCCATAGCGTCTGCCAATGATAATGGCTCCCTCTCGGCCGCAAAAGGCTCCAATATACCCAGAGAAACGCACGAGCGACACGGAGCAAGAAATAGACCCGGGTAGACGGAGTGCAGTCGGAGAAGCAGGAACCTGACGGATTAGATGAGATGCAGGGATTTGGAAAAGGGAGATGGAGGGAAAAATAGACAAATGACTTCAGTTAAACAAGAGAGATGTTCAGTCAGACTCGTTCGGTTTCCATGGCCCTCGCTGGTGTTATGGCATCAACATGGTTCCAGGGATATTTACACATCAGGATTGTCCATGAACGTAACATACATGCTGCCAGGCATCCTCTCATTTGTAATAAATACAAGGTAGAAAGAACATCTCGCTTGCACAAAAAGGTGTCTACATTTTGCATGACACTGTGAAATACTGATGAAACAATCTCCTCATTGAGCCAACTGAGAGTTTTAGGTTCAACTCTAGGTCTTCTGACAACAGGACTTTTGAACGTATGTCAGGATTAACATTAATATACTGGTATGTATCTCAAATCTAAAATATATTTTTGAGACAAAACATAGTTGACTATTCTAATTTTAAATGTCATTTTACCATCAAATTCCTTTTTAGAAAAAAATATGAACTTATTGATCCTAAAGTGATAAAGTTCCCCTGCTGAATGGGACTCTCTGATTGTGGAACAACTTTACTTTAACCATCAGCCGCTCCTGCTCTGTTATTTTAACAAAAGTCTCAACAACACAGAACTCGCCCGTCTTCAAAAATCCATCTCACATCATTATATCAGAGCGGAGCGCGGCGGGAAAAGTTGGTCCTAAAACTCTCTGAGCGCTTCAAAGAGGGCTGACGTCACCAGCTCTCACCCGCCATATGTCACCCCGGCCTCAGCCTCAGCTGGAAGTGGACTGTTGGTGGATGCAGACAGGCCCGGCCGAGGCAAGAAGCCCGCCTGGTGGTTGTTCAGTGCCGCCCCCCCGCCCCGCAGCTATACATCCCGCCAACCGCGCATTCTTTTGGTCTCCGAGCTTCAGTTGATTCACAGCAACGGCAGGTAGCAGGGCGCCAGATGGCCGAGGAGACCACCACCCACACAAACACACACACACACACACGTACACAAATGCATGCACAATCATTTTTAGTAGGAACCAGCAGTGAGCACAGACATATGGTATCCTTCTTGCACACACTTGTGCAATTACTCACTGCATGTTTTCACACACCCACAGTACATTCGCCTTCTTTTTTCGTTTTTTGCATCCATTTAAACTCTTGAACTATATTTAGAGGCATGTTTGACGGCAGATAGCAGCAGATAAAAGCATCAAGACCCACCGTTCATCCCCACCTTCATTCACACCCGTTAGCCAATAAGCCAGTGAGAAACAGCCCCCTTTTGGCTGCGGGTTGTTTAAGTCCCGCGGAGGGAACGGTCACAAAACAGAGCAGAAACACACCGCAGCAACCATTTAATGAGCACTTTTATACTTCAAGGACTCCTAATTTTAGCCAGGAAGCCACTTATGCATGCCGGGCAAACAGGGATCAGAACACAAAAAAGGCCACAGACTGAGTTACACTCTTTGATTTACTGTCAAGAGTTGGCAACTACAAGCAGTGTGCTCCTTTTGGCTGGAATCGTTGTTCACATCAACATTAAAAAGAATCACAATCTCTGGATTGTTCATTTTCAGAGTCTTATTTGACAAAAGATCTATTTAGAGGCTGCTTTCAATTGTGAATATGGCTGTTTAGTCTCATCACGGTTACGGATATAAAGGTTAATTCATTTCAATATGTCATTTAAAAGTTAGAATACTCAATCATCCAAATTGATTTATTACTTACTCATCATTAAATGTTAATGTGTTTGTTCACTGATAGAATGATCATCCGCAAGCCTTAAGACATATATAAATTAAAATGCTTCTTGGTATAAATCATATCAATTGTGTGCTGACTGCATGGTTCTTGTTATTTGCTTTACAAGATGCTGTTGTCAGGTTAATAGTAGTGGAGGAAGTATTTAGGACATTGGCTAGTTAAAGTAGCAATAACAATGCATGTATTTACAAGTAGGACTATTTTATTTATATACTGTAGCTCAATATCACAGATGATAAATGATCACCGTCATGGGAAATGCACTTAGAGTCATTGAACAGTTGAGTCAGTGTTAAGTATCACAGTGCAAATGTGTAAGTACATGTGCGTCAAATTTGCATTGAAGCAAATGTAGGAAAGTATTTAGAAAAATTGTTGGAAATCAATCTTAATATGAATCAACATTTTGTGAATACTCATAGAGAGCCGACACATTTGAACACATGGTGATGGACCTGATAACTTCCTATTATGCAATAGGAAATAACAATGTATCAGAAGAAGGAATGTATATCTTTATTATGTGCTATGTACATATCTTACAGTATGGTACAGCAACAACACAACCTACAGAGTCGAGATTGCACAGTTTTCGAGCTAGGCCACAGCGGTCGGGTACCGCGGTTACATGAGACACGACGCTGAGCGTACCGCGGGTACAGCGTACATCTTTGGCTTCAGAGGGATGACACAGTGAGCGATGCAGCAGTATAACACAGAGGTTTGGGTGATCTTGCAATGGATTAAGGGTGGATTTTCAGCCGGGTGAGATGTGTTGTATGACATGTATTCTTCATGTATGGGGGGTGTTATGTTCCCGTTCAGATTGCTTCACATTTGTCCTTCTACGCTGGTTAATATGATTGAATCCTAAAACCCCTGCTGGGCTAAGACTTGCCCAGACCTAAATCCTGTTGAATTGTCCCTCCAACACGTACAGGCTGTGAGCCTCGATACATGGACGTGGTCTTTGCACACGGTGCACATTATATGAAAAGAGGAAACTGTGGTGAGAGCCAGTGTCTTATTCCTTCTCTAATTAGCAATAAAAAACAAGTCCTTATTCTGCCCGGGTTTGTACAGAGCATCGGGGCGAGGGACCGAATGCACAGAGAAGTTGAAAAGACACAATGGATGAAAGCGACCGAAGGGAAGTGACGAGGTGGAAGAGACAAGAGAGAGAGAGAAGCAGACAGAAGAGATGGATGCAGCGGGGTCGCCGGGGTGAGGAGATGGTGTAATGATTAGATCACAGATACCCTTGAGCCTTCCTCCCGTCCCCTCCTGCGCGCGCAAACAAAATAAATAATCTGGAAGCGCGCTCGGAGCGGAGGGAGGCCTGCAGTTGTAAATGGCCCCCGCTGTCAGAGTTCGTCTGGGCGGAGGAGGAGTGCGGGAGTGGATTACCGGAGCCTGCGATTAGAGAGAGCCCGCTCGGCCTTCTCCCGTTCTCCCAAGAGGGGACAGACCGTGCCGCTGCCCCGCTGCAGAAAGATGTTACGGATCTAACGTTTGACTAGTCGGAGACTGCAGGCATTTTTGGAAGCAGGAGGAGAGGGGAAATATCATCCTGGGGAATGATACTAGACGTTCCTGGAATGTCGGGACATTTTGAAAGTCTCGGAGAATCTGTCTGGTAGAATTTTGGTGTATTTTGTCTATAAGACCTCTTTGTTCCCTCGCATTCAGAGCTGCAAGTCTGAGGCTGATGCTCGACGCTTCCTTGAATACGGTTGGCCTCCTAATCAGATGATGTCATCTCTAAACTTGAGCGAGTTGAAGGTGACTGGCCTGGGGAGGAGGGGATGTGTTTAGGAGGCTTCCATCTAGTGGTCACTCGATGACACTGTTGATCGTTTGGAAACAGAGGGACGTCTCGTTGCAGAAACACATTAATCGGACTCTTTCTGACCCTTTTCTTCAGTCCAGTATTAAACAATATGGCTGAGAACAAAAATATCTATCGTCATATATGTCATAATGTCATGTAGTGGCAGGGCTGTCAGGGGGTTATTAATGAGTTTCAAGCATAATGGCTCCATTAAGTGCATATAACAGCATATATCTTCACCAAAAAAAATGCATACTTCTATTCCTAATGGCATGGACACAAAGACATGACAGGAAGAAAGCCACGAATGGCCCGATGGCTGATTGCACAGGCAGAATCTACAATTTAACCACATAGTTATACTTCCCCATCCACTCTTGATAGTTCTGGCTTCAATGTCTGATGCCTGTTTTCACTCAAGCTGTCAACGAGAGAATGCTGCCTGTTAGGGAGCGACCCCACGATGATGTGGGTTTCTGTGACAGACATTGCATTTGTACGATGCATTATTAGTTTTGCTGTGCAGAAAAACGATGGGTGCTTTTTTTAAATGCTTTTCTTAGGCCTATGTGAAGGTATTTGAGGAGCGAGGGGGAACATGAGAAATACAGCCAAAGAACAGCTTTGAATCAAGAAAGACATTAAAGGACTAGATCAAGTCTTTGCCAGCCTTCTGCTCATTGTGTGAGCATAAAAAAAGAAAATCGACGTATCGGATGCGGTTTTGTTTTCTCTTCTCGTCTCATCTCGGCCGGGGAGTATTATTGTTTTTTTCAGAAAAGCATTACTCCATGAAGCCAAATGCAAAGGGGTTTTTTCTGGTCTCACCTCTAGACACTATACTTGATCCCGTACACACAGCCTTTTTATTCTATTTTCTCAAATGTGGGGAAATCCTCTTTCACTGGAGATTAAACAGACAGTGTGCAGTGTGAATGGTGGAAACAGGTTTCTGATTTGTGTCTGTACATATACAATACACTTTTCTTGACAAAATATTTCCCCAAATTTAGGGGAAATATTTTGTCAATAATGTGTATTTCTCGTACACATTATATAAATATCAATATCAAGACCCAAAGCAGAAACCTCTTCTTTTCTTTCCGTGTTAAGGGGACAAGTGGCTTCTAGGTAGTGTGGCTTGTTCCCCCGACAAGCCGCTAATGCCCCCCGATAAGATAAACCCTCGGCGAATGGGCTCCTGTCGACGGAGCTGCCACAGATAAGAGCGGGGGATCGCTAACGGCCGAGACAACTCAAAACATGAGAGGCCGGGCTGCAGATAAAGAATGTAGGCGGCGGGAGGAAAATAGGAACAACAGCGATCAATTGCTGGCACTGCTCAGCGATGCTATCCGATGCCATCCCTCTCCTCCATCTCCTGTAAGAGACATGTGAGGTGATCCTAATCTGAAGGGGAGGAGAGGTGGGTGGCGTGTGTGCCTGTGTGTGTGTGTGTGTGTGTGTGTGTGTGTGTGTGTGTGTGTGTGTGTGTGTGTGTGTGTGTGAATCTGGGGCTTCAAGTCATCAACAACCACCTGCATTAGTGGATGCAACACAGAGGCAAGGTCAAAACTAACTGAAATCCCTCCAGAGAGAGAGAGAAGGGGATGAAAGAAAAAAGAAAAAAAGACAGTAAGGTGTTGGTCTTTTCCGGCTCAGATGACTCTATTGTCTCAGGGGGGCGGTGGGGAGGACGGATGGATGGACAGATGGGCCATGGCATGAATGGAGGAGTGACATTTGAGAATCCACTTTTGACAGACCGGCGGACGGCAGAAACAGGTGGGAGTTGAGGGGGGAGGGCGTCTGGGTGCAGAGAGAGGAAGGTGAATTATGGATGGAGGGATGGAGCTGGAGGGAGGGAGGAGGAGGGTGGGGGTATGTCTGGCGAGGGCTGGAGCCCCGCTGACAGGCAAGCTGCTACTTGGTGGAGCCACTTAGCCACACAGAGTCAACCACAAACGACGGGGCGTCGCCGCGTCGCCAACGTGCTGCCGCCTTTTGTTTCCCTCCCCGAAGGCCTGCGGGACGGCCGTCGGCAGCGGGACCCCGCTGGGGGACGGCGAGAGCCGCCCCGCCCCGCTCCGGAGAGGTAACACGGGCGAGCGGCGGTGCGGGAGCTCCCTCTGTTGCGTTACTGTCACGTTCGGTTTGCGCGTTCCACCGCTGCCGCTCTTCCTTTGGCGTCGTCTTCTAGCCGCGTGCAAGCGTTCACTCCTCACCATCCTCCACGTATGTGGATGGAAACCAGCCGACCTGACGGGGGGAGAGAAGTGGGAATAAGATATCATGGGGTAATAATTCATGGTTACACACACGGGTATAGGGACACTAACTGTACATCGGTTTACATGTTTGCTATATTAATCATACGTTTGGCATTTTGTTATTTTCGTTAAAACACATGATCTGATTTTAAACTCATTAACAAAATTTCCATTTTTTTTCGGCAAATAGTTTTTTCCCTCTTAGCATTTTTTAACATCACGGCACAAGGGCGGAACAAATGTTGCCGTTACATGGCAAAAAGCTTTAATAAGACTGATTAATCATTAATGAATAAATGTTCATGTCATTAAAGAATTAAACCCCATTAAATCCCAAATCCCAGACCCATCAGCTTATATATGTAGTGTGCTCATTTCCAACTATGCTGTAAGGACCTTCGTGGCCACAGCGATTTGCGTGCGTAGGTAAGACAACCGCATTAAGAACTGTCTCTTAGCAAATGACAACTTGAACTGATCGCTATCTACAACCGAGGGAGTCGTCTGATGGGGAGCTGGTTGGCTGTCAGCAGCGTGCAAAGCAGGACGGATTCATTTAGGGTCAACGTGAAGAGTCAGACGGGGAGCCGCAGAAAGTATTTCTCCTGCAGTTGACGTGAGGGCCAAACACGACGGGTACCTGTGTCTTTTTGTTCTTTTTGATAAAAGGAGCCTGATATGACATTCGGCTGATATTGAATGCTTTTTTCTGCCAGCAGTGAAAACCGTCTTCAAGGCTGAAGAGACTCTAACGGCCCTCGACAGACTCGCGGCGCTGCAGAGTTAAGTTTTCGCCAGAGCAGCATTAAGCACGAATCAGGCTCAGTTAAAGAGAAAAGCTTCTTCATTTACAACAGCTGATTGAAAAACACACTCGTGGCCCAGACACATTACTGAGGGCTGCAGCGCACACGCACACACACACACACACACACACACACACTGAATTTGTCATTCCCTTTATTGTTTTCTGCCTAGCTCAAATGCAGTGAAAGCGAATGGGAGTTAGTAAATATACATCCCTGCGTTTAGCAGCAGGCCTTCCTCGATGCTGCATACTTGATTATAAATTGCCTGGTTTTTGATTGGGGAAAAAATAGTGTAAGAGGGGGGAAAAAGATGAAACAGACTAAATCTCAAGAGGTTCTTCCAGGTCAATACGGACTATTGGACAAACATTACTCAACATAAAATTGGATTTAGGGATTTAACCCGCCAGAATAAAAACTGTGTGAGTGAACACAGCTGATGGGACTCCTGAAGCGTTCTGCCTCGATGAATTGAAGCAGCGCAAAGGTACATTTATCAAAGGCACAATAGCATGCCGTGCTACAAACAAGGGGGCTTTTTGAGTATGTTTTATCGGCATCGCTTACCCTGCCGTTGACCTCGCCCCTCCACCAACCGTTGGCTCCCGACTTTGTGTAGATCTTCACCACGTCGCCCTCCTGCAGCGAGAGCTCCCGCGTGTCTCGTGAGCTGAAGTCGTACCGCGCGATCGCCACGCCGATCACTTTTGGAGTAAACACTACAGAAGGAGAGAGAGAGAGAGGGGGGAGAGTGGATACAGGATATATATATAGCAGTTCATTCACGGTGTTCTAAAGACATTTAACAAAAATCAGTTGCAGTGACACACATGTACACACGGATGATATGAGTGATCATTTTTCATTCACAGAAAAAACGTTCTATTCTCTCCCTTTTTTTTATCAAGTGTAAAATCCTCTGCAGATTTTTTACGTTTTTTAACTAAAACGTACGTTAGAAATGATTCTGTATAATAAATATTGTATAATCTAAAACACACAGCAGCTATGTGTCTGTAGTACCTGTGCAAGTGATTTAGTGCACCTTGCCAAATAAACAACAAGTGTTTCCGTACAACTTGTTACAGTTGTGTACTTGAGTCCACTGTGCTGACGGCCGTGTGTGTGTGTGTGTGTGTGTGTGTGTGTGTGTCCAGCAGTATGAGAGACATGCGGGGAGACGGTTAGCTAGTTACCCCCCTGCTCCATCCCACCCGGCCGGCTTTCTACCTTCTCCAGACACTGACTGGCTGGTCGGACCGTTCTAAGCTGACAGGTGGAAATGGAACGTCAGACCTCTACAACCCGGCCCCCCCGGGAGGGGGGAGGGGGTGTAATCTACTATAGAGGAGCTGTGTGTATTTGGACACCTCCACCTTTTACTTTGACGGACAGCCGAACGCACAGGCAAACAGACACACACACACACATGAAACTCAGCCACAAATGCCTCCCGAAAACCGCTCAAACGCCGTCTCTCTGTTTCTGCCTTCACACTCTAATATTCACATGCGAAAACGGCAACACTCAAAAATAACATGCATTATTAAAACCCGTCCCCGTTCTCCACACAGGGTGGCGTGTACGTGCGCACAGCGGCTGTGGAAGAGGTGGACGGAGGCTGTGCAGGCACGATGGATGTGAAGGCGCTCGGCCACAGTCAGCATGCTAAGCAGCCTTCAACAGTGGAAGGAAAGAGATGAAGCGTTAAGAGAGGCAGACAGACAGAGAGGGAGAGGGAGGCGATACCTGTACCGGCCCAGAGGGGGGAGAGGGAAGGGGCTCAACAGCTGTCCTCGGGGGGGTTTTCAAAAGAAAACCCCCAGAAAAAGGGGCTTTTCGCTCGGCGGGGGGTTTTTTTTTTTTTGGGGGGGGGGGGGGGGGGGGGGTGGTAGAAGGAGAGAGAAGCAAAGGAGAAACGATAAAACATGTTTTTTTCAAAATGCCAACTCCGAGGTATAACGAACACAGCTGTATCTGTAATTAATAATGCTAAAAGTTTCATTCAAATAGGAGTGATGAAACGCTTAGTATGATGTTTAATTCCTTGTGTTTAGCAAAGAATAAAAACAGAATTTTTGAAAGATTATTGAAAGGCTCACAATTATAAATTGACAAAAGATGGCTGTTATAAATGTACACGATCCACTTGAACTGGCGCTCTAATCCAAAAACATGTTAGTGATATCGCACAAATGAATAATGCGCATGTTGAGTTCTGGTGTTACAGACTGACTGATCACTGTTGTGATTTATGTGTAGTTTAAAGGACTGTATGTGGCTCTTTGTAGCTATTCTACGTGACTATCTGTAGATGTTATGTGTGGATTCATTAGTCAGGTGTGTAATACAATGAGCGGTGAACAGTTTGTGTAAAGAGAGGAGAGGACATGGTGTGAATAGATTATCGAAAATAAATGAAGCTCTGGTTTATAACCTTGTCTAAGCCTCCTGATTTGTGCATTTGCGGCCAACGTCGCTCAGGCATCATTAATTGCTGATGACAGCTTCACTTATTTATACAAGTTATTGCTTTATTTTAAATTATAGTATACTATCTATGGGATCCTAATTCTTTCTCTGTGTTGTCTTTCTGAAGGTCACACTGTATCTCCTTAATGCAGACCTAGTATTTTTTGCAAGGAAATATAATACCCACAAAGGTAATTATCTGTTCAGTGTAAAGTAATATCGGTGGTTAGCTATACTCATTCCAATAAATTCATTTATTTTTAGAAAAGCTGAACTGGGGTGAAAAGAACTTCATATTCTTGATGAAGCAAAATTTGGTCCTGAAGCTGGGTCCCTCTATCATGTGACGTTTAACATTTCTTGTTGGCAAATCAATCATACAATAAGAAAATTAACCCTGAAAAAACAATAAAAGACCCTCAAGGGCCAATTGTCTAATAATCCACGACTGTAGACCTCTAGTACTTACAAGTATCCACTATGTAATTGGAACTTTTTAAAGTTGCTTTATTACCTTGCTTTAAATCAGAGTCTTCACCCCCTCCCCTCCCCGCCCCCCCCATCTTATTTCTGCCACCAAGAAAAGAAAATCTAATCCCCACTATGCCAGATGAATGTCTAAACTTCATGAAAAATGTGCCGCTCACAACAAGATCTCTGGGCAGGTTTTTGATATGCTGAACGGAGAGCGGAGCTCCGGTGGTTTTTAAAATGAATGCTACTCCGTCCAGTGAGAGACAGCTCAGCGTCCCCTAATGGTGTCTAGGTGCAAGCAATATGAAGAGGGACGGCCCTCCACTTCTAACAGCCACCAAAGCACCGGCTGCATCTTATATGCTTCATTTTAGCACATCGGGTTTGTGTAACACAGCGGAATACACCACATGGAGCTGGTTGACTATTGAGGGTTCACACACACACACACACACACACACACACACACGCGCGCTTTGCAGATGATGAGCCAAAATCCAATCAGCGGCCCAGAGTCCCACACACGATGTCGGCGGAGATTGTTGCACGGACACAAAGTCATTTAAATGTCGGGTTAACTGCGGTATTGTTGCTGTTGTGTGTTGGTTAAAAAAAAAAAAAGTATCAATCATTTTTTATTCTTCTGCAAAACTGTCCATGAAACTAAGCATGAACATGAATCAACAGTCTTCCAGCTGCGCTCGAGGGGGATGGAAATCAAAAGAAGAGAGTCATTTAGAAGTGAGAGAGAGGAAAGAGAAGTCTGAACACCAGGAGGAGGCTGCTCACACGATAGAAGACCACACCGCAGCAAAACTAATTTGGATGGAAGCTGTCTCGACTTGTGTTTTGAAGCAAGAGTTGGAACAACAGGCCGCGTCTAGAACAAGCAAACAGCTCTGTACAATCTGTTCACATTGCTACGGCTCGGAATGTGATTGTCAGTAAGTCGGCACTTTTGTTTCTTTCTTCCCGTCGCACGCAGCGGCACGCGGGTTTCAAATAAAATCTTGTTTTGCCGACTGATGTTGTCTTGGCAAGTTGACGAACTGTTCACTTTTTTTTATTTCTGGGCTCGTTTGAAACATCCTGCTGCTGCGAGGTGATCATGGATGTTTTACACAGCAAACAACCTTTTCTAATTCAGTATTTACACCTTTTCTTGTTGTTTTTTTTGCAAAACTGGTGACAAACGACAAATAACATTGATATTTCTTATCCCCAAAAGTATTTTCTCTCATTTAACTTATCATCACCAAACTACATTAGAAAAACTATTGTTTTTGTCAGAGACATCTCTGCACTGGCTTACTTTAATGTTGCACCTGTTCCATACACCTGTTACAGGTCAGGTGTTCTCTCCCAGGCATGATAGGCTCAGTCTTACACCTGAATGATCAGAGAACTCCGGCTAAATAAACAGCAGCGGCGAGCATCGATAATCCGCAGCTCATTTCTGGTCCTCGGATGGTGTTAGTGACAAACATCTGTTTGGTCTTGAGGCGCTGCCAGGTTTGTTCAAAAGCAAGTGTCACACATCTTCACCCCGACGACTGCCAGACGGCACACAACAGCACGGACAAGAACAGAAAGTTCCTCATTACTTCTAGCATTAGCTCACACATTATGTGCCGTACGGAGTGTTAAAAGATTGCAGGATCTGCGGCCTCATTTGCATGAACACTCGGGGAGTATTGATTCAATAATACTTCATTTTCAAATCAATCTCGCTCAGTTCAGACATATCTTGTGGTGTCATATTAACTAATAAATGAATCTTCTTATTTTGCAAGTTTCACCTTCAAGTCATGTGTTATTTTCGAATGAATGTTTGAAACATTGTATAAACTAAATTATACCATTGAATGAAGATCATTTTTGGTGTTAAAACTAATTTAAATAAAACTGAATGACCAGATATCCAGAAAGAACAGCCATTCGCTATGTTCATCACATGTCTCAAGGAAACATAAAGTGATAAAGTGATAAAGTTAGAAGTTGTAATTTAAGAAGAAACCAACAGCAGAATCTCTTATTATTTGTCTTTCCCGTAACGGCGAGTAGGTAGACATGAGTATAACTCACACTAAATGTTCTTGACCTTCCCTTCTTAAAGATTTACCCATATTATGTCTTTCTGCAACCCAAATAGATCTAATCTACAGGAAACGTCCAGAGGGACGTCAAATCTATAACAAGCGTACTCGATTCTCCAGCCCCCATTTGACAGTACGGTGAAAAGAATGACACCAGACACTTAAAACAAATCGCTACCTTGCACTTTTGAGTGAAGAGTGAAGAAGCAGCCAAGTGAATAAAAGTGTGTGTGTGTGTGTGTGTGTGTGTGTGTGTGTTGGAGAGCTGGAAATGATGATAGCTAAGCAAGCAGAAAAAGAGTAGTGACGGGAGGAATCAGCAGAGCCAATGACAGCAGCCTGTTGCAGGTTGAAAGAAAAGCTACTTGCAATAATCAGCAGAGTGACCGTGACAGATCACCGGGACAAACTAACTAGTCCAAAACCAGCCAAAGAAATCAAGGAAATGAATCAACAAATTACTCTATGACGGATTAAACTAATCTGTAGTTGTACTTTTATTTCAGCAAATTTAGTTTAAATTTTTAAATAATCAGTTGCTGGCATTACTGCATACGTGTGTTTCAGTGTTGTGCTGATTATTCAGATGGACTCACTGGTGCTACCCGATCGGTTGAGGCGTTGCATGTCGGCGTTCTCCGGTTCCTGGTAAGGAAACTTCAGTGTGGTGTCCAGACTCCTAAAACCTTCCCTCAACGAGTGGTGTTTGTAGTACTCGATCAGCTCCTGGAGACACACACACACACACACACACACACGCACATTAAAACAGGTCAGCTCTATATATTCTTATCTGTCTATTCCATTTCTAGTGCATGAGAAATTTATTTTGAAAATCAGTTCGTAAAACCAGATGAATCATTTTTTTTCCTGCTGAAAACATTTCATGTCATTTACAAATCAAAAGTCTGCTTGAACTTAAACATATTTGTGACGCCGTCGATGTGAGAAAGTCACGATGGGGCCTCTCAATATATAAAATGCAATGAAATCATATGCTAACAAAATACTGTTTTTCAAATATCACACTCCAAACCTTTTAATTAGAAAATCTGAGAAAATACAGTGTTGATATTAGGAAGGTGGCAAACCTTTCCAACATGCACTGGACTTATCTATAATGCTGAAGCCCTCAGGCCAGTATAAACACGCCACTAATCATGCCTATTTTTGTGCACACTGCTAAAATAAAATTCAAGTTTTTGACACTTCATTAAGCGAACGTGATGATTTATTTATGAATTGCAGTGGTGGAATCAGGGGAAAAAACGAAAAGAGAAACAACTCACTAATATGCTCCTGAACTTCTTGTTCTCTGCGATGTAGAAGCAGCCGTCCTTCGTCAGGATCTTTATGTGCTTCACGTCGTTGTTGTACCTGTGGGCCATTGAATAAGTTATGAGTCTAATTTCCGTCTCTGATCACAGCCATCGATCGGTGCCCCCCGCCCCCCCTCCCCCAGGCCCGAAGCACAGCCCTCGCTGTAATGCAAAAAGTCCCAAAGGTTTGTGACACATGAATGATGGGTGGTCAGGAGAATGTGTGCATGTGTGCATGTGTGCAACGCGGGCGGGATTCTGTGGTTGGACGAATCCAAGCTTCGGTCAGAGTGAGCAGAAAGGATCTCTGTCGTTATTCAATGGATGAAGTTCCAACTGATGCCGTCAGTCTGTGTCCTCTTTCCACAGTTATCCATGAAAACACACTCAAACCAGTTGTGACTAATATCTTTAAATGTCATAAACATGAGCATCTCTTTCCACTCTGCCTGCCTTTCTCTTTGTCTTACACGGGGGCGTTTGAATAACCTTGAACAGCCTCGATGTTCAGAGCATCACCGTCTGTGTGCACACAAGCAATTAAGACCTCAGCGCAGAAGGGAGTTTGAAGAAATGTTTTGGTCTCTCAAAGAGAGAAGCGCTGATGGCGCCTTGTGGAAGATTATCGTGTTTGTGTGTGATTCTAACTCTAAACTTATAATAACGTAGTTTTTGTGGGATTTCTTTTAAGGTGGATGCATAATGAATTATGCTAAATGCTTTAAACCCTGCTTCCTGGTTAGCATCGAGTTTGCTCAGATTTTACGCACAGCACCGTGTTGGAAAGCACATCGTCCTGCAAAGGAGCTATAAATGGGTCCATCAAACTGTGTTGTTCAGCCGGGAGTTCTATCCGGTCAATAAAGTTTTTGTTTTTTTTGCCGCAGGCGTCTGATAAATCTAAAGCGGAGCAGCGACAGACGGAAAAACAGAAAAACTGTCGTGTTGAAAGAACAACGATACATCCTGATGATTGTTGAAAGTCAGACCACAGACATCCCCAAACTTATTGCTCAATAAACAGACAAGTTTAAGTGTTTATTTTTTGTCCTCAACACGATGAGTATTTTAATCAATGAGAGTATCTAAGTGAAATCGATCATACCAAAGCACCTTTCGCAGTGAGAGCCGGGGACACTTTCTGTACATGAGGCTCTTGAATGAGCAGAGGACGAGGAGGGACTTACTTTATGCTGACGGCATACTCGGTGTACTCTCGGCTTCGGTGGCGGACCAGGTAGGTGCTGTTGACCCGGTTGATGAGCTCCGCCTCCGCCTGCAGCCTCTCCATGGGCCCCGCAAACCTACAGCCCGGAAGACGACAAGTCAATTCAAAAGTAATCAAAAGCATGCACACATCTGGATGTGTAAATTAACATGTGTTTTGCTCAATGCAATAAGCATTATTGTAGTAACCCATTTGGACTAAGACAGCTGTTTAGTGGACATACCACGTTTGGGAGGAGTAGTCGATGGGCTTTGGGACCTTGGGCAAAGAGGAAAAGTGTGTTGTTGTTAGTTTTCATGAAGCTTGAATTCATTTAAATACTTGGCACCAGTTCCACATGTTTTGCCCTTCAACCCCAATAAAAAAAGCGTAATGCTCGTCCTTATCTTTATAGAAGTGTGGACACGGTCATAATAGTTTGTTATCTACGTGAAAGCTCGTATCCCCGAAGCAGTCAATTTGACTTCAGCAAATGGCGCAATCCAGCGGTGCAGAGATTTATAGGATGAAACCGAAACAAGCATCTGCAACAAAGTGTAGTCGAAACAATACAAACCAGTGCAAAATCATTTACCTTCCTTCTCTACGGTCTAATTCACTGCACACATCTCCAAAAACAACACGACTTCCTTTGAGCACAGAACATAAAACCCCGTGGGCTGTTTTTTTTTCTTTTCTTCTCACGGCAGGTAAAAGAGCCCAGAAATCCACAAACATCCTCACACCAGTGGCACTGCTAGTAAGAACATGTGGCCCGGGACACGAGCTGCTTCAACAGGCCCCGCAGTGGCGAACTATAGCTGGAAGGAAATGACACTCACACACGGGCAAGGCTTCACGGCGTCGCTCGGAAAGAAGCCCACCTCCTTCGTCGTCACGACTTTGCCCTGAAACAACAGAGAGAGATAATTGTGTTACGAACATCTGGCCGACCCCGTCTCCCCTATTAAGGAACAATTAACTGACAACACAGGGCAGTGTAAGTCCAAGTTAACCAATACTGATAGTAATAGCTGGCAGGAGGAAAAAGAGGCGTGGCGATGACTCAGTGCGTTGATTTAACAACAACTGGCGAATGTTCACTGCACATCATCCCTTTCCTTACACAGCGTATCGTTTCTGCCATTTTATACGTCCACATTTGAGTGCAATGCGAGGATGGGCATTATCTGAAGTGATCACCTTTTTTTTTGGTGCAGAACTCCAGGTTTGCAGATTCAGCCCAAGCTGAGCAGGTACCTCCAACAAAGCCTTTGTGAATCAGTTCAGGCTTAACGTATTAAGAGACAACAGGCAGTCTGGTCGCCAATTTGTCCCAATTATTGCTTTCAAACAACGTCGCTCTACTCTTTCAAGGTGCTTTTTTTGTTACTCATTATCCCAATGTATAGTCCATGAGTAAATAGGACAATTGTTTTGCATCGTCTATATGGAGCCTGTTGCACTTTAAGTCATTTTCACTTTTTTTCAAATATGAAAAGATAAGTTTGAATGTATAACCAGCGATAACCACAAGGGCAGCTGCAGCACTAAGCTATACATCAAGCCACCTGTTGACTGTCGCGCTGTTTTCATTCTGATTTAAAAATGAGATTTCTGACTTTTTCAGGGATTTGCAAGGTTTCAAAGAGGTTTGATCACAGAAGATTGAGGAATTGATTCGTGTGCATCCAACCATTATCCGGGAGGCACGAGCAGCACACAACCAGCTAAGGCCGTTTTGATGGTTTTGTGGCAGTCGGCCGTCACATCCCTGCTACCTCGGGACGTTTCATCAGTCCTGGAGGAGAGGCCTCTGCTTTCTGCCGCATCCTTGCTAACAGTGTGATAATGAGCGTAGCCGCTAACGCTGACAGAGCAAACAGATGGCTGCTGCTGAATGAAATGAAATTACAGTGATCGATTCCATTTTGCCACGCATCCCCAGAACAGAAATGATTACGGTCTGCTGGCTTCAAAGTTGATGGATATTGAATGTTTGCTGACTGTGGGCATGTAGCTGCCTCCAGTTAAGCTTTTACTCAGGGTTAGTTGAATTCTCTATCTATTTCATCTGTGTGTATTTATTACTATGAGATTGGTTGCTTTCCTCATTATATGTCTGATTATAAAACAATTGTACAGCAGTTCATGTCAATATACTGTGTGTTTTCCAGGCCTGAGGTAAAATCCCATCGTAACTATGATGAATTTGATTCAGACAAGTACAAACAATACTTCTTTCTACACAACAATTAATAAAAATATCCAGAAATGTGCTCCTCTTTCTTCCTCCGTTAAGGGTTTAAATTAGGTGCCTGGTTCCGTAACCTTGTAAACAACAAACAAATGTTTTCCAGAGTTTGACTTCCTTAAGGGAAGTGTGTGTAATTATTACCTACGGTTGTGTCCACCTTTTAAAGGAATTCAACTTTCACATTGCAGATTGAGAACTATTCAAATAACTCCAGCCAGGACAACTACTGGAATGCTATTTTCAACCTTGCACCTGCACAGCGTGTCCAACTTAAAGCAATGCATCTACATGAATATGTATGTAGGCTGTTAATGGGTGGAGCATGCAGATTATAACACATCACACGTGGCATAAAAAGGGGCTGACCGGCCTCATCCGAACCCCGTTATAGATTACGAGGTCAGGACGATGGTCGAATGGTTTGAAAATTAAATTTCTTTTCTGTTGCGGAAGACTTGATTAGGAGTGGGACCTCTGACCTGCCACCAGGGGCTGTGAATGTCGGCGCAGATTAATTCGATGATGTCACCCGCTTGGATGCTGAGCGGTGGACCAGACGTAGGACTCGGCACACCAAAGTAGTTCCTGATCACCAGCATCTTAGGCCGACCTGCAAGAGGGACACAGTTAGCTTCTGCGCAATGTTTGGGCTTTAAAATAATCTGCCATGTCGATATTTGCTCTCTGAAATTACACTATACAAAAAAAAATATATATATATATTCAATAAACATTCCATTTTAGAAGCCTTTTTTTTTAAAAGATCTCCCGATAATGTACTAGAAACCTTATCTTTTTTTTTACCCCGTTTCCTATTTTTAATTGTCTACTTCATATTTACTTTTTGTTGTCACGTGGATTGGAAGTTAAAAGGATTTGAAAGAGACTGAAATAATCTATTGATTCACATTCAAGATGTGAAACGTCGTGTGGTGTGTCAACCGGAAAAAAACTGCTTGAGTATCTGCATAATTAAAGGAAGACAAAAATAAAATATCTTGGGACTTCTAGATTTCAATTTATTCAGTTGTTAATGTGTGGCTGCATTTTAGTCGTCTGTGTGCATATATATATATATATATATATATATATATATATATATATATATATATATATTTATCAGGTCTAAAAGGGCATGTTTGTCATTCCAAAAGTGCTTTGCTCTACTAAACTATACATGGCCCCATTATAGCTGGTCATTAGAGGGAGTATACATGTACACACACCTTGTCACCAGTGCACTGCCCTCGCACATCATTTGGACCCATTATCACATTACAGATAAGAACCAGTACACTTGTGCATTGCTGGTTATCAAGTTGTTAGATAAGAGATAAGCAGAAGTGACACTGTTTGCTGCTCTATGATGTATTCTGGCCTGCGGAGGGAGGTCATAAGGAAAATCCAATCAACTGTTTTCCATTACTGAAATTGAATAAAAGTGAGTCCTAATCACATTTACAATCAAAGAAAAGCCATTCCCTTATTTTTCATGATTTTAATGATGGATAATAATATTGTATTTGGAGAAACTGTCATTATTTCCATCTGTTTTCTTGGCTACATTCAAGCACATGCAGAACGTCACCTGCAGCAATCCAGTGCTCAGACTAAATGAAGCACGCGACTCTGCTGATGACAAACTACAATATAGTAGTAAGGGTTTCCACTGCATATTAAAAGAGTGCATTTTAATAATGCCAAATAAGTTTGTTGAGATTACCTCAGTTAGCACTATTTGATTTTACACAATGGCTCTGATCCCATTATTCACCAAGAAATCACTATAATTGATTTATAATTCATCTGTCATGAAGCACCCACCCATGCCAAACAAATCCAGGGTTCCTATTGTAAGCCGAAATAAATGATTCCATTGCATTGTGTGCCGAAAGTGTTGTGCAGGTATACAATGTGAGCGAAATAACTGTGTGAGGGCATGAAGCTTATAGGGCAAATAATAGAGATGTCAACAACATTGTATTGAGAGCTCATACATTTTTATCTGGCTCTCAGGGTCTGTTCCAGTGCTGCAGGACTGAGGCTGGCAGCCTGACATGTGCTAGCCTGCCTCAATAGGACTTCTAAAGACGCCGGGCCATGGAGAATTGAGTCTCGGGGGCACGAATTGCATTCCTTTCCACACAAGGACAAGCCAAGTGTTAGCGCACCTTTGAAAACAGACACAGAGGAGCCGCGTCGAAATGTTATGAAACGCCAGCGGCCGGGGCAATCAAATGCCTATTGATTTTAATGCTTCTTCAGTCAGAAATGATTCTCTGCAGCATAATGGATGGAGGGAGGGAAAAACGCGGGTTGAAGCGAGGTTTATGAGAGATTAAAGGCCCTCTGTGTGCTGTACCCATACGCACACACGCACACACACACACACACGCAAACAATTGAAAGGATGCGGCTTGTTATTCATATTCTGTTGGAGAAAGATTGAGAGACAGAAAGCCGCAGAAGGAGGAAGGCAGGAGTATAATGCCTCCATGGTATTTACTGCATTCTTTTTACAGGCCTACTAACATGCTATGTATGCATGCTATGTATGCTATGTATGGTATGTTTGCATTGTTCTATAGTGCTTTGATTGCATTTAAACTCTCGATATTATACTTTTGTATATACAATGTTCCAACTGCAAATATACAACCAGGTACACTTTCTATTCTGACTGAGCCAGATTACCTCTGACAACAAGGAAAACAATCATGACGCCATGCCAGTGGCAATTATGCAAACGTGTTGCCAATCCAGATAAACAACCTCATAGAGGGAGGTAACAATAACTAAAAAGTGTTGTGTTTGTGTGTGCACAGTCACAGTCAACACTCTAAAAACATGAGAAAGTTGTAAGGCTTGGACAGAGTGTGGAACAGAGTAACCTTCTCTCTTTCAAAGTGGGAGCGACATTTATTTTACCATTTTCTTGAATTTTTGTTTGAAAAGATTTTTGTTTGATTGATCAATCAATAATCAAAATAAGTTAATTGTGGCACCAAGAGATTTAATAATCATACCGTATGTATAAAACAAAGTTGGGTGTAGTTATGTGCAATATAACGAAAAAGATGAAAATCTTAATTGAAATACTGGGCCAGTACTTATTTTGCAAAGAAAGTTTCAATGTTCAATGTTTTAAAGCTGATATTAGCTTATAAACACTAGCGGTGCAAATGTATAAAGATAGAATGGACTTTATGAATATGGAATAGGAAACGGAACACCTGCCTCACATTAACACTGGTTAAGAGTAAGAAGGAAAAATCGCTTGGAGGAACAGAAGACGGTAGGAGTGTAGTGTTGTGTTGTGCTCTGAATTTCTCACCTGCATCTCGATCTTTGCCCTGAGAAAAAGTATACACAGAGAGTTACACACTGAAACAGGCACCTGCGTGTTCACGAACAAACACAAGCCCATTAAAACAAAAACAACTTGTTCTCCACTGATCATTAATTATTTCATCAGTCTCTCCATCGCAAGCACACGCAAATGTCTGCCGTAGTGAAAGCCAATGTTGGTGAAGCCATCCAATCTCAACCGTATAACCAACCTAATCAATTATTAGCTACAGTCAGTGAGCCGAATGTGTTCGGTCTCTCAGCTGCTGCACACATAGAATTCTTATTTCTCATAACCTCATTCCTATTTCTCATGCAACGGGCCTGACGCGGCCGACACTACATAACAAATAACAACCCGTATCGCTGCACAGGCAAACTGCTGCGTGTCAGCAGACATATTCTAAAGCTGCAAAGAGCAGTTACACTGGTTTTTAGGGCAAATGCAGACAGTTTAGATGCAATTTAGCTCCATATGTTTTTTTCCTACATTTTGGCATAAAACTGCATGAAACAAGTGGGGTATTGGTATTTTCACACAAAATAGTAGTAGTGCTACTACTACTATTACAAAAACAACAACCATCCAACACGCTCTACTCATGCAGTCTTTTTGTGTGCATTGCATAAAAGCAGTTAGTCAAAAGTTTCGGCTGTTTTAAAAAGGCTGCATGTGGCACAACGCAAAGCAGCACCTGACCCCACATATAAATAAGAGCAACAAGGACATTTTTCAATTACACACCTCAGTCTTGTGTTTTCTGCTGATGAAAACATTTCTGCAGATAAGTCTTATCTGCATAATGCAGTTTTAGCCAGAGTTTATTCATCTTATTTCCTGCCTGTAGAAATGTTTGAGCATTGCAGCAGTTAAAGCGCACAGGTTATAATTGGAAAAAAATAAAAACAAATCTTGTTTTTGGAATCAGGAAAACTGCGGCGCGTAAAGTCAATTGGAGTCTCCTTGGCAAATAGCTTCGGTAAAGACTTCAGCCTTCAAAGCGCAGCCAAGCTTTGGAAAGGAGACGAACGGCAGACATGGACAGTACACACATCGACTCTGACAAACACACACACACACACAGCAGCAGCTCACCTGAGGTTTGCCGGAGCCGGGGTCTGAAAGAAGTTTGAGAACAGGCATAGTGAATGACGGGTTAGCAGGTGCTCGCAAACACTTGCACACACTCCTTGGTACAAGGCAACACTCCCCCATTAGTGGAGGAGGCGGAGGCTCGTCTGTCTGACCGTGGTTCGCTTTGTTTTGCTGCGCTGCCACGACCTGACAGCCGGGATAGAGGAGGTAACGAGGCAGGGGGGTAGTTTGGAGGTGGGGGGGGCAGACCTGAGGTTTTTTTTTTTTTTTGCTCCACCAGTTTCTTTCATTGGCTCCCCTGAGGGACGGGTTACTCCTCCAAGACACATACACACACACCAACACGCACCTTTTGCACGCACACACGGCTACTTCTGTACCTGTGCAAACAGAGGCAATTGAGTAAACACACACGCACACTTGCACTCACACAAAGCCACATGTGCATTGTGCCTATGCACACACAAACGACTCTCCGCAGGCCTTTGACCTGTTACGCAAACATCGGCCGATAACCGAGACAAATTCTGGTAAACAATGGTGTATATTTGATACGCACACACACACACACACACACACACACACACATACTTAACCCTCTACTGCGGTGCTGTGGTTGTGTGTTTCTGCAGCCCTGCCTGTGCATTGACAGCATCTGCACACGCAGACAGTTAGTTTTAATTGGTTAGTGCACCCCAACACATTAAACTGTTCACTGTTAATGAGAACAATTTTCTTGTGCTTCTACTTTTAAGAGTTTCTCCTTTTTCTTTGGCCTAATACCAAAGTATTGGTCCTTGTCTGTGCACAATTTCCGGTAGCAGCAAAGATACTGTGAAGGGGGGGAATCCAAACCAACATCGCAGTCTTCACCAGCTCTCCTACCGCCGGTGTTTCCCAAATCTACTAAGGCTGCGATGAGGCAGGTCGGGCCTGGCAGCGGCGTTATTGCATCTGCGACCGGCCGGCACCATGACGGATGCCAGGTGCAACCGGATGCCGCGGGGAATACAGACAAACACGCACAATTGTGACGCGAAGTGTTACAGGGTTGTAAAAGTAAAACAAGCAAGATCGCTTGGTTTCGAAACTCGCACAAACAAAAAGTGTGGATTCAGTTTTTCCACCTCTCCCACGTATCTCTCGCTCTCTCTCTCTCTCTCTCTCTCTCTCTCTCTCTCTCTCATGCATACACGGAGGACATGTTAAGCTGGTTTCCAGAGGCCTTCTTTTCATTCAACATGTCTGAAGTTTTCCCACCATTTTTCTTCCAGAGCTGTCAGTGCTCCCGCTCAGGGAGCTGAGTGACAGGTACACAACGGGGGCATAATACAAAAAGTTATGAGTTTCCTAAAACTCCTCAGTAAAACTACTATTAAGCTTCGGGGAGCGGTGCCATGGTACACAGTGACATTGCCTTTAAGGTGCTCTGAAGTGTCAAAACCGCCCAGGGAAGCCAGGGAAGCTTTTGAATGAATATTTGCAATTCTGATCGAATGCTTGGATGACCTTGTTTTGTAGAAATAAGGGCACTTTTATATAAGTTATTCATTTCAAGCGAAATCCCAGAATTCCACTTGGAGCGATTGGGTTCAGAATGTCACTGTGCAGCTTTGAACCAGGCAATCAATCTCCCCCCAATCAGTATCAGTCATATGAGACACTCAAACATCAGAGTCATGTGTGTAACCCGTCATTATGCTCACACTGCTCGAGTATACACACGCAGTTGTGAGTTTAATGTGTCCCTTAAAATCATTTTGTCCAGTGAAACAGGACAGAACTGATGCAGACTGGATTTGACTGATGTGAGTTTGTGTTTCACAGTGAGAGACTTTGCTTGTATGTGCGTCCGTAACGCAGCACGTTTACCTGTTTTTCCACAGCTGCCAAAGCGGCCCAGGCATTCTTTATGGGCACCTAAGCCACACTTGGAGCACAGGTAGCCCTGGTTGAAGACGCCCCTGCAGAAAGACAAACAGGGAAAGGCATCAAATGGATTGCTTTTATGGCATTGCAAGAAATGGCAACTTTACTGTGATGCTCATATGACAGTTTGGATCCAAGTTGCAATCGAAGGATTCCATGTTGTGTAGAAATGGCTGCTGGATTTTCTGAGATCGAAGAAGGAACAAAAGTCAGGCCTGTGGTCTGTCCAGACTGATATATCTCTACCACAAAGCAATTTATTGCAGTGATATTTTCTACCGGATTCAAAGTTCCACGCTGATGAATCTTAATGCCTTTGGTGATCCCCTGATTTGCTCTTTTACCACCATGAGGTTGGGAATCGTAAAGGCTTTGGTGACCCCTTAAAATGTCATCCAGCACCTGCAAAGCCACTGCCTCATCTGTCCAATGTGTTTGGTGCTTTTCAGCCATTGCTAACCTGCTAAGATGCTAAAATGAGATAATGATCACATGATGTTATTTCGGGCATGTTCGTATACTGAAGCTAGCTTGCTTTAGGTATAAGTGAGTCCTAGAGATCTTCGAGACGAATTCTGTATCATTGTAACCAGTTAAAAATGACGCTTCAGCTCACAAAAGAAGCAGCAGCAATGCGTTGCCCCGTGTAGACCGTCTCAGAGGCCTTAATAAAAATGAAGTAAAGGCTGCTTTACTTTGCTTTCCAGCTAATTGTCTGTTTAACCTCTTTGAGAAAACTGGTATGGCTTTCATGTGCTGGAACACTATTATATTGTTGCGCAGTACCTTCACGATTCTTATGAAATAACATGAAACAAAGATGATTATCCTTTCAATTCACAACTTAAAAGAAAACCTCTGCCAGTCACGTTCCTCGTTTTCTGATTAATGACACACTACCCAGCGGGGCCTCTGCTCTTACACAGCTTATGAGTATTGCAGATCTCAGATTTAATAATACGCTGAATAACACTCAACTCGTCAGACTTGCGATTCATAAAGTGATTTGATCTTCGGTGCCGGTTAAATGAGAGGCTACAATCAGATTCTGTCCTTTTGAGTGGATCTGTTGTTCCTCTACTGGCATTTTAAAAAAAGAGCTCTTGCACAGTGGTCATAATGAAACCCTCAAAGGGACCAATCAATTATTAAAAGGAACAATAATTGAGAAATCAATGACACACAATGACGCACATCAGATGCTTCTTGAGATTTTCCCTGCGTCGTTCTAGTTTTCATCATAACTTATCCTCAGAGATAGTTGGGGAATTCAGCGCCCGGCTGTGTACCTTCACGTTGCCTTGAAATGTGCTCAAGTGTGACAGATTTTTGTCTTCACTGTCCTCGGTATGTGAAACCACTCAGAAAGACCATGAGGCGCGGTCCTCCGGGTGCCGCTATACCATTCAGCGAATTCAAAAGAGAACTTTGTGCAGCCGAGGCACATGTGCAGAGGAAGAAGACAAGTGAAAGGAAAGTGACGAATAGATTGTTAGGGTACGCTGGAGAGGTGATTGACAGGTGTTTGAAGGGAGAGGGTCCACGTCTCGTCCACAGTTTTTATGTGTGACGCCAGCCGTGACGAGGGTGTGTGTGTGTGTGTGTGTGTGTGTGTGTGTGTGTGTGTGTGTGTGTGTGTGTGTGTGTGTGAATAATAAATGACCTCTTACCTCAGCAGCATGTGGCAAGAGTTGCAGGAGGTGATCTTTTCAAAGGTGTGCATATGAAACTCGTGGAAGTTGCTAGTGGCATTCTCAGGACGGATGTTGGATCTAAACGAGACAAAACACAGATAATGATAATTAGATAATGATACACTTACTTCCAACATATGGTTTTAATATGAGTATTATTATTCTATCATTAGTAGTATTAGTAGTTAGAATTTTGTTAGATTTCCTAAAATGAACTGGCAGGAGGTGGATTGGTCGAGATGAGTAGCAAATGAGTTAAGTTGCTCCATGCTTCTATTTATATATTTGCAAATGAATAGAACATTTTAAAAGATAACACAATAAGAACTTGTTTCCATTCTCGCCTGATTTTAAGAGCCAGCTGCTAAATTTGATCCAGTGTACAACCGACAAACAAAGATTACAAAATGATAGTTTCTGGCATTCAAAAGGTAGCGTTGATGTCTCGATATTGAGGGTTTGGACTGAACATCAAAGCGCATATGTAACACTGACAATATTGTGCAATATGTCCTCTTCCGTACAACTGTCAGAGTAATAACTCAAAATCCCCAAAAGCAGTCGGAACACACTGTACAATGAGCACTACCAGCTGCAGTTACCTGCAATGAATACGAGTTTTTGCTGCTGCCTGTTACTGTTATATTTTCCAAAATGCTTTGGTCTTTGGTCAATGTGATGACATTGTTGCACGAGCGTTTTACTTAATACGCCCAGGTGTTACTTTTGGAACTCAAACGACGAGCCAAACTTATGGTCAACAAAATCTTAAGTACTTCCGTGAGAATCGGTCTTCGACTGCCTCTCAGCGGCCGAGGGCTCCCTAGATCTGCTGTTAAACATTGCCGAGTGAGCGCTTTTGTGTGTCTGGCAATTACTTTTTATTCTCACTGTGAGTTAAATCAGCATGAAAAGTTAATCAACTAAAGCCGCTTCTTTCTCAATCATACACAACACCCGGATCCTGCCTGCTAATCCGCTTCTTCACTTCCTGGTAAGGCCTGTTGCTCTCCTTTTGTTCCTTGAACTTTTAATTGCATTAATTCTCTTTTGTTTTCTCATGTTTCTTTCTCCCTCTGCGCCTACTTGTCACGGATGCCAGTGGAGATTCATTCAGAGATCCAATAAGAGATTCCTCAGCAAAAGCAGATGCGGGAGGACTGTGAGGAAGTTTTCGTTCACTTATTCCATCCGTCTTAGATGAAAGGATGGTTTTTACTAGAGAAATAGATTCATTTTTATATAATGGCTAAAACAGAAGTAAAAGAGGCCAAAATAACCAAACGTATACAATCAAAATAGCCTCCATTTCCCATAATGAAACTCTACAGGATCTTTTTGTTGTTACAAACTCTGCAACACTTGTGGTGTGCGTCATCTAGAACCAACAACGTTAAAATCATGTTGTCTACACCTGAAATAGAGCAGCGAAAAGCGAGTTGAAGCGTGTAGTCTGGAGCCACACAGTGGCTTCATAATCGCAAAGCGTCATTATGGGGGTGACTCGCCCCGTGCAGGAGGAAAACATCCCAACTCGTGGATGAGGCGTCCGATGGCCGCAGACATTCCTGCACCCGCACAAAGCTGCGAGGGCCCGTTCAGCGCTGCTTGCAGCTTTAATCACATCACCAGTCAGTTTAATTACACACACACGGCACTGCAATTAAATTCAATCACTTGTATTCTCGGAGTATATGAAGTGCTAAATTTTCTTTCTTGTGCGTGTTTAATCAGGTTGAGCTTTAAAAAAAAAAAAAAAAAAGGGGGCTGTGATTTATCATCTGCTAATCTGTTTGTCACGGTGTCGCGTGCCTCACGCCTCAGTAGCCCTCAAGTTGTAAAACTTGAATAACTCGATGCGCAATGTGCAGGTTTTTATGTTGTGACAAAATGCAGCTGAGAAACAGACACACTCTTCTCCCGCTGTGGCGCGTGAACGGACACAAACACACACACACACACACACACACACACAGAGGAGAAAACAACAACAAACAGCACTCACATGGCCATGCCAAACTGATCCAGCCACTTCTTTTTCAGCTCTTTGGTCTTGAAGAAGAATTCAAAGCCGCTCTGGCCCTGGTTGTGGGTGAGGTAGAATCCGTAGGACCACTGCAACAGGGAAGAGATGAGATGTTTCATATGGCAAAAAAAGTAACACAACAGTAAAAAAAACTAAAAGGAGGGTTTGGCAAAACGGAGACGTGATGCAGCGTCGCAGGTGGAGACCGAGAGACGCGAAATGAAAAAGGAATGCTCGGGGAGAGCGAAGCCAAAGGCCGAAGGGCAGAACTGACGGGCAGAGAGGAACAGGAAGAGAGTGTTGGCTCGCAGTGCCATATGACCGCTGGGCATCAGGCAGCATGCATGGACCAGTGCGCCAGCAATCAGCCCCCGGTATCGACTTCAAGGCCTAAATATTAGTCTTTTAGCCTCTGTGTCAACACGTGACTCTGTGTTACTCCATGACTTCACTGAACAGATGCTTGCGAGATGCACTTTTTATGGCGCCTGGGTGGCAACTTCAGGCTAAAAAACAGTGAGGGAAGAGAAGAGAAGAGGAAAGCTAACGCTCTACAGAGGCTCTCCCAGTGGCCACCGAGACATATGCTCTGCAGAGATGTCCCTAGCAACCATTTTGTAAAAAGAAGGACAAAATGTTTGTCCATCTGTCAGTTGAATTCTTATTTGCTTGGTTTATTTTTTCATCCAGACTGACTGTGTGAGCTCTGCTTGGGTTGCCGAGCTGAAACACTCACCATGTTGGTCACGACAACACTGCACTCTACAACGACAGCATTTGGGCTATTTGGGTGCAGCAGAAACACGTTGAAAACACATTTACATAGTAGCACCGTTTTAAATTGGTTTGGTGCACTTGTTAGCACATGGCTAAGCATTTGCACATGAAGCAGACACTGGACAACATAAGAATCCACTTTAAGTCTTAGTTTTAGTTTTCCGTCCACCCGGAGAACGTAAGTGGACCAAAACAAAGTAAAGCTCCAATTCAGCCATTTAGTCTGTGATTACAAGCAACACTTTAACACAGTAATGATCCTTTATGATAAGGAAAATAGTGAAATCTCAAACCGAAATATGGTGCCTTAAAAGACGATTCAGAATTATTTGGGCTTTACCTCCAGAGGACTTGCATATAAATGTGAGTATTCTGCTTCACCGGTCAATGATGTATTGCTGCTTGTCTTTGACAGACACTGTCCTCTTTGGCATCCCCATAATAAATATGTAATCAAACAAACTGCATCATGTCTATTATGTCAGAGGAGAAAGATACCGAGGTAGGTTTCCTAGAAGAAAGTAACTTTATAAGCCCATACGGGGCTTAACGTTCTAATGTCAGCTATTTACGACATCATTATTACCCCAATCATTGTTTCCTGGCACACCTTCGATATCATCCCTCATTATGATTGGCAATATATTTCACCACTTGGCACTTAGTATTCATTGTGTGTGTGTGTGTGTGTGTGTTTGTGTACTCGGGCCCAAAGCGAGGTTTATGATAACACCATCTGGGAGGAGGCTGCTCCAGTCTGACACTTTCAGTATCATGCTGGTGAATGAACAAGACAGTGTAAAACATGTGCCGGAACAAGCGTGCGTTAAATTATCTAACAGTCTTTGCTGGTGATTATTTTGTTGTTTGGGTTATGAGGCAGAAATATCTTTGCCTGTAGTTTATTCAAGCAGCACATTCAGGGATTCAGAGCGCAAAGGCAGCCGTGGGGTGTAGATGTGGGAAAAGGTGCTTATAAAATACTTTTTTACTTTCACTCATCTGATAAATGTCGTGGCTGTTGGTAACGCTGAAGCGGCGCTGTTAATTGGTTTGTCAGGAGTCCAATGGGGTTGCTGAGCTCTGCTGACTCGGCCATAAAGAGGCAATAATGGACTCAGCACTGCAAGATTTCCCTCCATTGGAGCTGATTGGTTGTTATATGAGAGGGTTTTTCTCTTGTTTTTATTTGACAGAATGTTAAGAAGTACGTAACACTAGTATGGTTACACTTTTATATTCTGTATATTACAAAGACCGTAAAAGAGCAAAACATAGTTCACTCGCAACCTTTTTTGAGTCTTATTACAGTACAGCCCTTAGTGAAATAATATCTAATTAAAAGCAATGTTTGCTGATTTAAAGTCCCAGTTAATCACCTCTGAACTAGTTTATTGCTTTTTAACACACTAGCGTTGAAAGCTTAATGCTCAAGACATATCTTCAGTGAACTAAAATGTGATTTAAAGCAACTCCACCAATCAGACCTGAGAACCTGAACCTATTTTCATTTGAGCTGTTAATGACAAATTACAAAACTACATTTGGCTGCAAAACTTGGTGTGATATTTTGTCATTGGATACAAATTCAAGAACGTGTTTCACTGCCGAAGGGCCCGTTTCAATGTGCAGGAATGCAACGATTTGTTTCAATATTTTGTGCACATATGAGCAACACATGTGGTGTGTAAGCCGGGCAAAAAAGAAAACTACCTACAGTATTTTGTTTATTTTGTGTACTTCAGTTTGATTTAATTGAGGCAACCTTTGCTACATTTCTAAGGTGAAGTGAGATTGAGTTGCTCTCTTGGAGTAGAAAGGGACCTTTTTTATAAAAATATCTGCTGCTTCTCTGAAATGACTGAAATATCTTTTCCAAGGTGATAGAATGTTCTAAAACGTGTTCTGTGTCCTATAGATGCTGAAGGAGTAATTCACCAGAGTCTGATAAGGATGGTTGTTGTCCAGGTGTGCTAGTTTATTTGTTACTTTTTTATGTATTTCATATAACCAAACTTTTCTTTCTATTTTTTACAAAATAGTTTTGCTGCCTCAACTGAAGCAATCATTTGTTAACCACGTGTAATTGTGCATTTCTGAATGAGGCTGATATGACTTATTGATGAAACCATTAGAAATGGCCACAATCAACGTGTTGTGTTTGCAGAAATGCACAATGCTAATTTTCTGGCTACTTGGTAACTAAACGCTAAGGATGAGCTGCATCCCTTTCTGCTATTTGGTAGGGGTAACACTACATTTACGCACTGGTAGAAGGCGTCGCCATAGACTTATGCATCAATAAAGCTATTAAAAGAGCCGTGTTAGACAAAGAGCTGTGTCCTCATAGCGGCTCCTCCACACGCTAACTGGCTTCCTCACACAGTCCAAAGACTCAAGTGCCAAATATGAGCTGGGATATCCAGCCCCCCTTAGACCATGTGTCTCGATAGAAACCATGTCTATGTGTGGGTGTGTGTGTGTGTGTGTGTGTGTGTGTGTGTGTGTGCGTTTGGACCTTTCGATTCTCCTTGTCTGATGTGGGGTTGTTGGTGATCTTGAAGAGGTGCAAGTCGATCACTTCTTTCATCTCGTAGTTGTCTCCTCGCCGCTTACAAACAATCACCGCGGCATCGAACAGGAAGATGTGCCTGTGATTTGAAGAGAATCCTTCTGGTATTATTTCTGAAGCACTTTCAATGATTATTGTTGTTATAGTTACAGTTACAGAACTAGGATCTAAGCGTATCGCTCCCTCGCTGCTTCTTCTACTAAAACAGTTACGTTATTCCTCCACACAGGATGAACTGTCTGGTATTTTGTTCATCATCATGCTTGTCAAATGGATACGTGTAGATGCAGCTTTCTACTTTCCCGCTGGTTGGAATTTGCTCATCTTCATGCCATCTACATTGTAAAATTGGATTTCCACAAGGCAGCATTTTATCTACTCGTTCTCCTATAGACTATATATGCCCTCTCTCTCTCTCTCTCTCTCTCTCTCTCTCTCTCTACTACATGCTACATTATTATTTTGCATTAAAATACTGGAAACTCCCATCTGATGGTCACAAAATAACAACGAATCCCACACAATTTAGGGCCAGAAGATATGGCCACAAATATTCTATCACCACACAGGTCATGGTATACCTTAATAACAAAAGATATCATGACTAAGCAGGATTTCTGGTAATGCAGCGAATGAATGTTGAATATCAAACCACCACATGTTCTCTTATACACCTTTTTATTCAAGCGCCATCATTTTCTCAGAAACACTTAAATTAGCTGTAAATTTCTATCTGCCATATGAATTCCATTTAGTGGACTGACACATCTGCATCCACCGACTCCAGTGTCCAACGGCATCGGAATCAATCCACAAAAATCCTCTCAGCTGTGTTTTTCTAGCGTATGGTAATGTGATTCAGAGCACAGAACAGAACTAGTTTCCACTGAGTCAGGCCAGTTAGACTAACACTTAATGATGCTTTTAATCATTCCCTGTATAATAAATTACACACACACTGACTTAAGTCTACAACATCCATTGTTTCTGAAATAACAAAATCCGAGGCTCGTCCGACATTATCAGCCTGTTTGTATGGAACTTTGAGGTCATAACTAAATACCTTTTTGTACTTCACTTTATTTTGTTCTTCACCTCCAAGACACCTGGTATAAGTTTCTTTGTGCACTTTGGCCTAAAGCGACACATGCAGCTGGCAGCGCAGCAGCACGTCAGCCTGACAGCTCACCTGTCCTGTTTAGCTCGTTTGTCCACCGAGGACACCCGTACCTCGCCATCCCCCTTAGGTCTCCCGTAGTTCCTCAGGGGCTGGTTCTACAGAAGAAGACACGGATAAGACTTGGCTGTGATCTGACAGGAATTAAATCCATTCCAAAGAAAAGCGCTCATTATCTGGAAGAAACAAGCGGCTTACCAGGTTTTCGATGGATTTCTGATACTGATCTATTTCTCGCAACGTCTCATTGTCTCGCTTGACTTCGTTGACGTACTGAGCCAAGTCCTGCAAACAAATCAGGAAAGAAAATCTTCGTTCCTTTCATTTCTTCTCGTCTGTGCTATTTCTTTCTTTCTTTTTGGGGTTGTTTTTTTCTACTTCAAAAGGAACCAAAAGCGAAACAATGTTTGCCGATGGGCGACTGATAATACAATACTATAATACAAGTGGGACTTACGAATGATGGGTTGTATGGAAAGACTTATTTATTCTAAACTAGTCTGAACATCTAAAAGCTAACAAGGAACCATATTATTTCACTTGGACATTCAACAAAGTCGTTTAATAGGGTTTGCAGCACATTAATGAACGGATCACAAGCTGAAAGGAAATGAAGCCTTCCTTTAAAAATCATGTCCACATACGTTTTACATGGACACACTTGTCTTTGCACTGTGATAAATGCAGATCTCACTGTTCTGATTAAATAACTATGAGATTTTATTTTAAGTCATTTTTTTGAGAATTACATGAAATACAAAAATGAACTAATATGAATCAAAACCCCTGTATTCCAATACTATCAGAAATAAAACTGATGATGTACCTTCATGGCATCCAACGCTGTTCGCAGATTACTCTTGTCTGTGGCATCGTGAGTGTGTTTCACCAGCTCCTAGTGGGCAGAAAAAAATAACACACGCACAGTATGTGTATGCGTTGCCCAATAACACCTCTTTTATACCCTGACAGTAATTTCAGGCATTAACAACCAGTTAGCATAATTTAAAGTGAGAAATGGAAGCAGGGAAAGCGGAGCTGTCTGTCACAAACAGAAAGGACTTGTAAAAATGTATGAACACGCTGTTATCCTGTTGCTTACTACAGCCACATTCCACGCCCGACAACACAGCGCTTTGGCTCCAGATATGAAATGGAAGAGAATCCTGTCCTGAAATGAATCAGATTGTACGTGTGTGTTTGGGCACCCATCTATAGCAGAGGTGTGTGTGAAAGTGTGTATCTGAAATTGCTTGCCAGTGCCTGGCTGCAGCGTAAACAAGACATCTAGACCTCAGCGGTGGAGGATAAGGAAGGATGCCATGCATGTCGTTTCTACAGGCCCAAACAAACTGTGTCCCCACACACACACACACACACACACACACACACACACACACACACTGAGCCGCTGAGGGAGATACATATGTCTGCTTGGCACTGCTCAAATCCCCGGTGTCAGTCAAGCTCAACCTGGGCTTTATTATCACTAGCAAGGCAACAGAGTCCTATTTATCAAGCCCTGCTCCGACCTCCACGCGTCCACGGAGATACGGTGGAAGGGAGTGGTCACACTGATAGTTGGGCCATCCGTGATGGACTCATCGGAGGAGAGTGTGGCGGTGTGTGTTCAGGGGGGGAAGAGACATGACGAGCGTGAGGCAGCGAGGAAGAAAGAGAGCGAGATTGATGGGAAAAAAAGATGAGAAAGAACAAGCAAGAGAGGAAGAGGAAGTGGCACAACATTTGTTGTGCAGACTCTGGCTGCCGCCATGTGGGAACGTTACCTAGGTTACTATAGGTTTCTCTTTTAATGCGATTGACGCAGTGAGGAATCTCAGTGAACCCTCACAATTAATCTAAAAAACTAAACAGTCAGATAAAACACACTGGAGGAAGAGGTGCTCCCTTCACCTCAACACACCCACCCGAGACCAGTGCATTCATGCACAATAACATCTATTCATTAGAGGTAAGCTGCTGCGTCTCCTTTCATCGATGTTCTCTACACCAAGCACACAGACTACATTCAGCCTCTTCAGATCCATCCTGTGGGATAAATGCGCGGTGTGTGTGCATCTGCATGGATGTGTGTTCAATGAATGTGTTTATATATCTCAGGTCAGTGGTAGGACTTGCACACACACACACACACAGAGGTGTGTGCATGAAGTACGCAACACTTGGCTCCTGTTATAAGTCGTGGCTATAACATCAATGCATGTAAATATTTCAGCATTTCCATCCTGAAATGATAAATCTGAGACATTTGGAATCAATATATTGTTTTTGGTGACGTGTTAATAACATTTCCCTGACTGTCTACTGAGTTTCCACAGCGTCAATTAAGCTCCTCGTTCGCTTTGAGATTCTCATCGCTCCCCGTGTGTCTCTCTTCACTTGTTTTGTCTTGTCCTGTCTGCTGTGCTCTCGTCCACTGCTCACTCCGTCTCATCTATTTTCTCCCTTCTACTTCTTAATTGGCTCGATCAGATGACAATTATGCGCGGGTCACTGTCAAACTGAGAGCCACAAAGACGCTGCAGAAATAGACGACAGGAGTCTCGCAGCCTGAAGGACGAGGGAAGGGGACGGGAACCAAAGATGGTCAGCAGCACCACCTGGTGACGGCACGAGGTCGGATAGGCGGTGAGGAAGCTCATGGAGAGTCCTCTTTAATATTGTGAGCTTTTGTTATTTAATGGAAATAACTGAGGTAATATACAGATGTGAAGAGTGCGTTCTGATGGAAATAGGAGGTCAAGGGTCGATAGAAATGTACAGAACTTCAGTGATAATCATTAAAAATACTGTTCACGTTGAAAGACGTATTCATTTTTCATACATACGAACAGAGCAGAAAACATGGAAGATAAAAATCTTGTATTATAATATAGTAAAATTTTGAAAAACAGAAAAAGATATTGTGGGATTGCGTTTCAATTTGTCTTTTATATGTATATATTTGAATAATATACTGTATACATAAGTTGTGTTACCATAGAGAGAACACACACAAACAGCGGAGAATAAAATATCTCGAGTTCCCTGGTTTCCCATCATTCACAGCACCGATAGGAAGGCTTTGCATCCTGATTACATGAGTATAGAAACAGCGTCGGATAGGTTCCAGTATCGTACCTGCAGGAGGAGGTGATACTTCAACACTCGCTGCATAGGAACCACCAGCAGATCCCTCAGGGTGAACTTGCCGTAGTTCGCTCTCTTTGAACATTCCTGTAAGATGACAATGAAGAAATAAAATACATTATCCTTAAAAATCGTTTGTATTTATAGAGACCACGTAAAGAAAGTCAGACTGTGGCTATAAACTGTTTATGACGAGTAACCTGAAAAGCTTAACTGACTAAAAAAAGAGGAAAGTTTTTTCCCTTTTAAGAAATGAATACAGTAAAAGTCAAGAGTCCAATGGAGCATCGATTGAAGCGTAACCGTTCATCTTACGACAGATGAATGCACGTCGTCGCCTGCAGTGCCTCAGATACACACTGGAGGTCATTCTCCGACTATTCTGAGGCGATGGGAAGCGAACACTTCACACGAAACCATCATCTGCCGCCACCAAAAGCTCGTTACCTCCAGCTTCATGCGTACATCCTCTCTGTCTTTGCAGATGTCATCCAGACCGGCGATGGCGGTTTCCACGTGGCTGCAGTACTTCCCATAGATCAGCAACCTGGGACAGATGATGACTTTTACAATAGAGTTTAAGAGGTAAACAGAATATGTAACGGGTTACGTACACACCCAGGGAGAGAGTGAATAGAGGTTACAAAGTCCATGACCTACCTCTCTTTGAAGGTGATAAAGATCTGGAAAAGGTTCTGGGCACTTCTGTGGTTGACTGACTCGAGGATTTCCACCAGTAAACATTTATGAACTTTAACTAGGTCCTGAAACACGACAGTAAAGACTCTTATTATCCACGGCCATTACATTTCTGTTACTTTCATTCATCCCGAGGACATTCATTATCAATCAATGTGCACAATAGCTTCTAATTCAATAATCAAGTGTTTGATATGAAAAAAAGCTTTAACAATTTCTTATTAAATCCAACCAAGAAACCCAAATATATTTGGTTTATTATCAAATAGGACAAACAAAAGCAGCACACTCTCACTATTGGGAAAGATTCATCATATGTCCTTCAATCATTTTTTTGTTAATCAGCTAAGTGATACTCAAAGTCACAGAAGGGACATTAAGGGGGGAAATGGAAACGCAGGAAAAGAAACGCACGTTAAAATCACACAAAGATCTCACAAAGGTTTTTTTGTATTTTAGGTCAAATAAAAATAAATAAAAAGCAGGTCTCTGTTCTTCCATTGTTCATAGATTTTATTTTCCTTAAATGTAAAAGCCAGACAATTGGCTAGCTTGTGCCACCTTAACCCCAGCCGCTTGGAGAATACATGATGGACGGACCTTCAGTTCACGAAAACATTTCAAGATACAGTCAGCAGGATCCTTAATGAAAGGTTGACTATGTTCTCTCAGGAGAAGATTATTTTTATTTTTTCATGCATGTTTCTTCTGCCCCGTGTCCCATTACCGTTCAGTCTATTTCAGCTCAACTTCCATTTGGAACTAAGCATTTGAATGGTCCTTATGTGACATGCGTTGAATGAAAAAGGGCAGCAATGAGATTTTAGTCATCAGAAACATAATAACGTAATAACTCACCGGAATATTCACAAACACCTTTTCCATCTCGGCCATGGATAGAAACATGGTGAGCGGCGTCATAAAGTGCTGCAGCAGAGAGGAAGAGACATTGTGAGAGAATGAAGCTGGTCCCCTCAACAGCAAGAGTGCGAGATGCTATTATATCAGGAGGCCAAGCTGCAAACAAGGGGGACGGTGTGGGTCACGACAATAATCTCATTTTCACAGTCAGAAAACTCCCACCACAGAGTCATAACTACATAACTCATAAGTGCATCTCAACAGGAGCAGGAGAGCAGAAACTAACTTCCACCGTCCACTTCACATCGCGTGTGGAAGTGACGAGAGCAAGATGGAAAACGTCCACGACAAAGGGTCTTTTCTTTTGGTGCTGGGAATAGTCGTTACCCACTACTCAGTATTTGTTCTCTAAGATTTGTAAAAATACTTATTGTTTGTTCCATTAAAACCCAAATCACAGTCAGTCAGTTTTTAATTCTTATATTGTAAGTGGTAAGGAGGCCAAATGGATTTCTAGTGCTTTGGTGATGCTTTCAATGCATTAAATCAAAGGAGTAGAGTATTTTTACACCAAAGGAAGTAAACTTTTATTATTTCATTTTTGACTCACTGTACTTGAGTGTGGTTTTACATGAGTGAAGAATGATATCATTTATTTACAATATTGCTTGCAAATAAAAATGTTGATAAGTGATTTCTATCAATCACTTAGAAATAAAAAATAAATGTTATTATTGGGAACTGGTAGTACACATTGAACACTAATACGTTGAATGCACTCACAGTACAGATCAATGTATTGTAGTCTGACAATTGCAAAGGACCCATTTGGTATAAAATCATCAAATCAGGACCTCTAAAGGGATTACGGGATGAATCTAAAGCGATGCGTCCTGTCACATGACACGAAAGAGGAAAAACATTGTTGCTCTTCTCAAACTTATGGTCTGAATTCTCTCATTAGTTTTCTTTTCCATTTGAAGTACTGTTTTGTCTCTGCAGCTCTAAACTAGAAAGATATATTTCCACAAGTAGAAAAATGTTCAGCACAAAGCACATTTCCTGTCACTAGAAGTGACAACGACGAGCCCCTTTTAGTGAGTCAGTACCTTCTCTATAGACTCCAGGGTCTCAGTGTACTTCTCCTCCGTCTGCTTGATCTCTGTTAAGCAGCAACTCCTGATGTCAGTCTCTGCTTGCTTTTGGAACGCCTACACTCACACAGACACACACACACACACACACACACACACACACACACACACACACACACACACAAACACAGGACTGTGACTCTGTGGCAGCGCTGTAGGCTGATAAACGGTTGAGCTTTCAACCAGATGTGGTCCGTGTGAGCAAAGTCACACTTGCTGGCTGGATTTCCTGCCAATTATGACATGAGTGGGAGGCACCATCATTTGTTATTGAAATATAAAATGTAAATACATTTACCAAATAACTTGTCACATTGTCTATAGAGTAAAAGCATATTTTATATTTATGCTAAACTGCTGTAGCTTCACATTTAGTTAACATGCAGAAAGAAAGCAGTATCAATCTTCTTATCACACTTGTAGCATATTTCATGAATTTTCATACCAGGTCTTTGATGCAGACGGTAACCGAATGTGTCAAGTGTCAATGTTACTCGTGGTAAAGAAGAGAAGTCAGAGAGAGGAGGACTAACCGGAGGAGGGATGGCTTCTGTCTTCATAAGGTCCTCATAGATCTCCCCTCCATCTTCATCATCATACACGCAGTCGTACAGATCCTCCTCGTCCTCCACCCCGTTCTCGCTGCGCCGCAGATGACACAACACGGTACAGACGTCACATGACGTCAGACAGCTGTTCGTCTGTGACTGTTAGTGGGTAATGGTTTTCATCCCTCATGACAGCCACATGAAAGGTTCACACAAAAAAAACCACGCAGTTCTGGTTTAACACAATAAGGATTTTAAAAGTATACTACAAATCTTGTTAGGCGGGGACACTTAATCCGTGGCTGTGAAAGTGGCTCAGAAGCACTCAAATACACACACACACACACACACACACACACACACACACACACTAGAGTAAAGACTGTTCTGGCTGCTCACATCTGAGCCAATTACTGTACCTCGACATGACTCAGGGCTGATATGCGCACACACAGCCTGTAGTTTGGACTAGCAGGGATTGATCATGTTATTTGCATAGAAATAACAAGCAAACTACAGGTAACTGCACTCATTGCACAAGTAGAGAGATGAAATGAAATGATGGAAGATGACAGGTGAACACGGCTCTGTTCGGAGTCATCCAGGCTGCTACTTGCACCTCACGTCCACAGCTGGCGGCTGTCAGACTGCTGTTTTCCTCACTGCTGCTGACTAGTGGGCTGCTTGCCGCTCCTGTCAGCGCTGTGTCAGTGCTGGCCGTCCCAACAGTAAGATGATCTGTCTCCACTGACTTGTATCCTTACACTGGCTATAGATCTGCCCTTGAAACGCACCTCAAAACCAATGTCTACATTTTCCCATATTTGCTAGCTAGGTTAAACTTTAACCTACAAAAGACAACCACAAGTGATTTTGATAAGAGAACTACACTTAATGAACTATGAGGAAGACACTCACTTCTGCACATTTTTGGACATTTAGATTAAGGCCTTCTGTCAGAGTCGTTCGTTCCTCATTCACTTTTAATGTTTGTTGTTTTGATGAAGTTCTTTTAGAGTAAATTGGCATCTAACTGACTGCAAGACTTCATGCTATTAGCAAAAATTACATTTCACTTAATTGTTCAGACGAAATTAATGTCCATAAAACAATTAAGTGGAGTTTTAACAGGCTTTACATTCGTCCTTAGATGTAGTTTTGTGGGAGGGACACTTGGGACTAAATTAACAAATCACTTTAAAATGAAGGTTTAGGTGACCATACGTACTCTATAAGGTCCTCCAGGTGGTTGTAGATGTCCTCATCTTCAACACTCTCTTCTGATGGATAAGGCCTATAAAAGAAATAGAGAGCTTCATTAATTATAACCTGCCATGGACCATCTAGTGAATTGTGCTTAATGATGCTGTAGCATCATTTTTCCCCTTTTATTGGATCGAGTCATTTCACTTCCACATACCTGATTCCTGTTTGTTGTGCAATCGCAGTGTGGGAAAGTTTCGAGAGCGTGTCCATAACCTGCAATGGAACACGTGATCTCATGAATATCATTTACATCACAAAGACATAACGTTAACGGTCTGTTGTCTGGGTCCTGGTGCTGTATTCAGGATGCGTTTCTCAGCGGCGGCACATGAGGGCAGCATCCTCAAACACTCCAACAGGGCTGCACGCACACGTTTTGTAACCTTAATTTACTTGTGTGCAATAACAGACACTCGAGAGCTAATGAAGTCACGCATGCCAACGTGTATCCTGAGATATAAGCAATCCATATATATATATATATATATATATACACATATATACACATATATGTATATATATATATATATATATATATATATATATATAAATATATATACACGCAGTCAACAGAAGCAGTGGATCAGAGTGCCGTGAGCCGATCGGTAATTGACCTTGCTGTGAAGTTCTCCACATGCACGCTCGGGCTGACATGATTGCTATTAGGATGAAGTCTAATTTCACGCTGTTGTGCTCATTCCTGCGCGTGCCCTTGACCCCTCTCTCTGCGTGTGTTTGTGTGTGTGTGTGTGTGTTTGTGTGTGTTTGTGCTCGACTAGTCACTGTCGAACGAGCGGCACCCTTCAAGTATCTTGAGTGAACGCTGGGCGCGGAGCTCCTCTCATTCACGTCTGTTAACAACCTGGGGGGAAAAAAACGACCCGACAACCTCTCGTCTGTCCGCTGACATAACGCTGACATGACGCGTGGACCGACACCGGCCTGCACGCTCTCATTCACACACGCACACACACTTAGATGCACATCTGGCCCGGAGCATAAGCTCTCAGAGATCAATACTGATCACACAACTGGCCTTTCCCTCCCCCCACCGGTATAAACAGTGGAGACTGCAACACTGTGCACGCTGTGCAACTAATAACGTGTCGTGTTTTGCGTGTCACTGATTCCAAACACAATGTTGGAGGCCATAGAATGAGGGACACAACGTGGCGTCACGGCGATCAAACGAACAGTGGACAACACTGACTGGCAGTATGTAAATCTGTCAAAGTCTGTCTTTGAGATGACATTAGTGCATTAGTGCATTGAGTTTATCAGTCGCAGCTCTGATCAAAGGGAAACAGTAATGCTGTGCAGCTGAACAGTGGGGGGATCCGGGGGGCTGCCGAGCCGTGTTTGTGACAGAGACACACGGAGCTCGGCAGCAGTAGACACCTTATAAGACGAGACCTGCATCTATGACGCTTATGCACAAACTAAGCCCACTAGAAATATTCATTTTAGTTTTCTTTATTAAGGTCAGACAGTAAAGTTAAATGGCGCGTTTCCACAGAGCGGTACGGTACGGGTCGGTACCCTTTTATTTGTGTCTCCACTGCCAAAAGTTGAGAATGGTACCAAAAATCCGAACCGTACCGTACCACTTTTTGGGTACCCTTCCGTTGGGGTACCTGGCACAGTTGTTTGGTACTAAAGGGTGGAGCTAGACTCACTGCAGAACGTTGATTGGTTGAAAGAGTGTTGTCATTTGCGTGTGCCGCAAGGGGAAAGACAACACACTTGCAGCATGTAGCCTTTGCACAAACAAAGATTGTCGTCTCCTTGTGACAAACAGCCACATATCGAGAAGCAGGAACAGGATCAGCTGAATGTCCTCCATTGTTGTTTGCGGTTAGCTTTCAGTTTTCGCGCGATCGAATGACGTCAATCCACTTTCCGTCATATAACACGCCTATTAAGTGACGTTATCACTACTTTCTGGAATACACCAAGCCTATCAAGTAAGGGTACTGTTGGCGGTGGAAACGCTCGCCAAATCATGGTAACAGACCCGACCCGTACCGTACCGCTCGGTGGAAACGCGCCATGAGATGCAAAGCCCCAAACACCTCCGCCGAGCAGCGGTCTGTCTGCAGAGAGGCAAAACCCACGGCAAAAAAGCATGAGTAAGTGTAAAGGCGCTTGCTCTCCGTCACAGGTGGTGGGGAGTATCTCAACGGTCGGATGTCACGTATCTTTTGGTTTTCTGAAGTCCACTCCATTCCCAACCAACCCACCATAAAGTGTATGATCAGGAACACGTGTTAATCAGTGCTGCAATCCAAACACCGATGAGCCAGAGCACTGACTTCATCCTCTAAAACTCAAGAGTGAACCTCCCTCTGCCACAGTTGATAGAGATCTCCTTCCCATAATACACAAAGGACATCCAGAGGCCACTTGGCAGGTGCAGTGTGTCGACAAGCTGAAGATCCACTGCGTGTTGAACAGAGCTTTTGGAAGCTGACCGGCGCAAGCTGGCAGGCAGGTTTGTGCGACGAGTCGAGTGCTGTTTGGCTTCATCGGGTACATGAGTCACACTCTTTCGCAACAGAATCGACCATCTGCAGACAACCGAGCGGCGTCTCTGAAGACGTGCATGTGTAACACTCGCAAAACTGTTTAATAGAAATGTCAAGGAAATAAAAACCAAAGGCAGATGAGTCATGCGGTTTTGCCCGGGAATCAAAAGAAATATAGATGATCCCTAACGTTCGTGGAGCGGCAGGAAGGCATACGAGGACTCCAATGCTGAATTGGTTCAGCGTGTGTTCTTTGCGGGCGCGTCGAGTAAACTGTGTCATCATGAAACAGCAAAAAATCATCTAAGATTTCCCAATGAAAAAGCTCAAAGGACACGCACAGCTCTGGTGTCTGGGGCGCACAACAAAGCCGAGGCCACAAGCTCGGCCGCCGCGAGGCACATGAGTGCTGATGAAGGGGGACGCCGGCCGGCCGATGGAGGCTAATGAATCCGTCCCACCTCGCCTCAGCCGCGCCGCTGCGTCCAATGATTCACACCGGAGCCACTGAGGCAGTACATGGCGTGTTTGTGTGCCTTTATATGCTCTGCTTTTGGGGAAATTCTAAACCTACAATAAATAAAAGCTGGATGTGTTGATTTCAAAATTGATATTCATCTGTCCACATATGAATGAAGACTATTTCTAATATCTGATTACCTCCTCCTTATCTATCTTGACTCAGGGCAGACGGCAACGGGAAAGTCCGTGATGTATTTTAGATGCATGACATGCCAACAGTTCTGTTGGTTTTACACATGTCCGTTTCCTGCTCTCTGCTGTAATTCCTCCTTTTTGTGGCTTTGCCTTCCGAACAAGGCGTCTGCAGATTACGATTGAGGTTGGCTATACGTCTACCCACTTCTGAAACGGAAAACGGTGCTTTTAACTGCAGCGTTTAAAGGGAAAGCTGACTAATCTGCGTGCAGTGTTAAAATGACCCAGTCCCTAAATGAAAGCAGTATTGTCATTCGCCCAGAAACGTTCTGATAAAAACCGCAGGCAATTATTCCCCCTGTGTCCACACACTCATCCCTGTGAATTCTCATGGAGGCCAACAGCGTCAGTCTAACTGACCGGTGATCAGCTGTTAGTCTTCAGGCTTTTCTCACCCCTGCTTATGACCAGTGGGGAAACGTGCGTGTTTCTCCACCCGACCACCTCAAAATAAAGCGTAAAGCAGATGTGAAAGCACCTTCACATGGTGTTAGCAGCATCACCCATCCTCACACGTTTATTTAAGTGTTGTTGAGAGCTCTCTGGTTTAGTTTTCTGCACGCAAGGCACTTGAGTGGGAAAGGTTTCAACCGTTCAACGATGTTCCGTCTTGTTTCGCACGAAACTCCTTGTTGCAGCAGTGAAGGAATTAAAAGTTTCATCTTCATTCACAACATTTTTTTTAAAAGACTACAAAATGCAAAGGTTTGTCAGGGTTATAAAATATAATAAATGTCTTTTCATTTCGTTGCGCATCATTAACCAGGTTTGATAAAACGTACATGAAAAGCCGGAAAGGGAACTGCAAGTGGTGTTAACAAAGGCAACATTTGCAGAACGGATACAGCGAATGCAACGCAGGTTTGTAAAAGATCATTTTACATTTGTGTGTGTGTGTCTGTCTTCTTTTGCACGAGCGGTTGATGATTGTTGTTTGTGCTCATATGCATTCATTAATGTGTGCATGTGCATGTGTGTGTGTGTTAGACAGATGCAGCCTGTGTAACAAATTCAATCCACACACACACACACACACACACACAGAAGCCAATAAAAACCTGATTGGCTCGAAGAGAAAGACTAGCTAATGTTTGGCAATCAGTGCCATGGCTCATTAACGCCTATAATACATAATTTGTGTGTTTGGCTTATACAGACTTGTAGCTTATTGGAATGCAACACACCCTCGCCATTTTTTCTTCGTCTTCATGGGCTGCATCACTTAGTCCACCATTCTGCTCTGCTTTACTTGCTTCAACTCCACAGTTGCGCGTGTAGAAAACCCCAGACGAGCGTCTTAGACACAGTGGACCTCAGGGTTGGGGTTGACGTTGAAATAAATAAATCTGTTAACGCCAGCCTCGTGTTTTAGTGCGGGTGAGAAAAATTGTGACTTTAGGAAAATAATGACTCTGTGAAACAGCCGGAGGGTGAAGGGCCGAAAGGTTCAGAAGCCACGTTGTCAGAGTGATAGCGGGCTTCAGGAAGAAATCACAGATCCATCGCTTCAATGTCATCTGTGGTAATGCGATCACAGCCGTGCATGCGCTCAGCTATGGGGGTTTCTGCCTGCACATTTCTTAAAACACGTGCCACAAACAGCACGCCATGTGATAACTGGAGCAGAAGTCTTTCTGCGCGTAGCGGCCCAACTCCTGAGATCATTCACAAACTTGTGCTTTGGCACAGAATGCGTCCCAATGGAAGACCCTCCTAACTGTGTCACACTCACGGCGTGTTTCTCTTGAACCGGAGCTCGGTTCAGTGCTGTGCTGTTTGAACCGGAGTGTGTGCCTGTATCGCTCCCCCTCTTTAATAAGTCCATCTCAGCAGGGTTAAGGTCAAACGCAAGGGCATTAGTGGTGTCCAGGTAAATCACATCAACCTGCAGAGAACGCAGCCCCTCGGGACACACACACACATCCACACTCGTTACTCCCGCGCCCCCTGAATGCTTCATGTTCCCGTTAG